CGCGATGGAGTCACTTTGAAAGGTCGATGCCCTCTCCTAATTTGTTTTACTTTACTTGTCATATTATTACTTGAAGTCAGTTGTCATGTACTGCATTGCTTTGAATGAAAGATGACAACTTATCCGTATAGTAAGTTACTTACTTGTGTTCTTTTTGTTGTTTCGTTTCCTTCGTTTGAGGAAAATGGCGACAGCCACAAGCATAAGTATGCACAAAATAACAGACAGAGTTGTATAGAGGGTAAGTTCAGTACTTCCGCTGACAGAATTTTTAGTGTAGCTGCTGGAGGGCAATGCCAATGCCTCAGGTTCTGTTGATACTGAAAACAAATTTAAGTGCATGTTCAACTTTAATCAGTAAAGTTACAATTAAACTTTGTAAAACAGTCATCAGTTTTTTCTTCAGCAAGTGATGCATAGGGACAGATCAAGAGATGTTTAATAGTCAACGAAAAAATAAAAAAGAAAGAGGAGCTCTCGGATAAAAGTTAAACTGACGAGTCATCCCATTTCGGCTGACAGTTAAAATGTTCACCCTTTCTCTGCTATCAATCCTCAGTACGAGAAAAAGTTGGCGACTGGTACATTTACCCATAATTCTTAACGCGCGAAAACCCTGACAACGTTCGTAAGAAAGTACAGAAAAGTTCTAATATCTTCAAACCTAGTATACACAATTTCGTCAGCAGAGCAACAAACATTACAAAATGTGGCTTTCCTTGCTCCTTATGGGCTGTGTTCTTGGTTTCGCATGGCATTAAACTAAATCGTACAGTACCATCTTTTTTCCTGCGAAGAATTAGACCCCGTCCAGACCATGTAATAAGGGTAAATGGTAAGTTTCTTCATCCTTTACTTACAGATGTAATGCAAACTCTACCTCACTACGCTAACAACACCAGTAATAACGTTACGCTTTAGACACGAAGGATGGATCCGACACGACGAATCGCGTCATAAATATTGTCGAATATATATTCCCAAAACTAACAGTCCACACCAGTTTATGTTGTGAATATTGTGAAGAGATTAACCATGATTTTTATGTCTTATGCAAACGAGAAAAATCAGAATTTTCCAGAACAGTATTCTAACCCTGTTTAGTACGACGAAGAGCCAGCACTCAAAACGACAACGTCACAAACTTGGTCCGGCGGTTAATTTGCTCTTACCAACTTCAAGCTGATAAATAGAGACGTGGTCCAGAAATATAGAAAAAAAAAAAAATATAGTTCAGGTGCAGATCACCGCTGGAACCAATATAGTGCTCTACAATGAGGGAGCTCGTGGAGGATTTCCTTAAGTTTCGTTTCGTTTCGTTTCGAAGGCAAGGAATACCTCCAACGCCGTGGGGATTTCTTCTTTGATATTTTAATTGCGTAGAGGCAGACCTCGCTAAGTTTTCATACATTTCTAAAACATATCTTAAGATGGGTTACCCTGGGTATAAAGCCTATATGGTGGATTCACTCTCTTACCTCGATCTTCTCTTAATATTACGTATATGCGTACGAGTAACAGTATAGTGATCCATCAAAACTAGGCCTGGGTCGTTGAGTTGGCTGTCCAGGTTTTGAGGACCAAGTTCCGCAAATCCATTTTCAAATCAGTGTTTAGTTATCCTTACCTGTATGAAGAAAA